GTTTCCCCTAGCATGACAAGGAATAATGGACACAAATTATTGGAGAGTAGGTTTAGATTAGACATCTGCAAGAACTACTTCACAGTTAGGGCGGCTAGGATCTGGAACCAACTTCCAAGGGAAGTGGTGCTGGCTCCTACCCGGGTGATCTTTAAGAAGAGGCTCGATGCCTACCTGGCTGGACTCATTTGAGTCCAGTTTTTCTCCCACCCAGGCGGGGGGTCGGACTTGGAAGATCTACAAGGTCCCTTCCGACCCTACTTCTATGAGTCTATGACTATTCAGACCTTTCTTCAAATCAGGAATTTACTTACTGCCCCAAGCCAAATGTCAAATGAAGACACACCAGTATTAGTCATTTTCCAAGGTGAAAGGAATGGTCCAATAAACTGAACCATTTATTTCTGCCCTCTCAAGTTCCCAATCGCATTAGTTTTGCCTCTTATTTTTGATTGGCTTTGCACAAGAAGAGACTACTAGAAGCTTAAAAACAAACAAAAGGAAAAAAAGGAACAAGCTCCTGGTTTCTCCTTCAGAAAACATTTTGTAGATATAAAAAGTAATTCTAACAAACTATGGAGGACTTTCCTTTACAGGAGCTGTGGTGATTTGCACTCAAGTCAGGAGTACTTAAGTCTCTTAAAATTTAAGAGCTAAACAACTTGCTGTCCATTGTGGGGAAGCCAGACAAAAGGACAATAACCAAATCGACTGAACTAGGGAATGGAGAAACAGATATTTCTATATGCAGAATAGTGCACTGCTTGGGTACCAGTAATGGGAGTGGTACAGTAACCTGTGTAAGAATATATTTGACTGAATACAATCTTGCACCCCTCTCTCTCTCTCTAATAATACTAATAATATACAGTTTGCCTGTTTCCTTTTTCTGTTCAGGACTAAAGAAATTATGCATAATTCAAGGTTACATGATAGCCCCATACTTGTTCTAGGACTTCAGGATTTTCCTTTTTAAACAGTTTTTAGATTCATTTTGACTAGCTCTAAATCAATCCTTGCTGTTCATTTTGGTGCATTTCCCATGAGGATATTGCATATAGTTGCATTACGATCACTAACTCAAGAACAACTCTATAGGAGACAGATTTCTGGAAACAGCTACTCTATCCTTTTTCCTGGCAGGGGTATATTCATAAAGCAGATCTTTCCTCTGCTCTTCTTTATAAATAATTTTTAGAATGTAAAACAACATTCAATCTTAAGACATCTTTACTTACCAAAAGGGCTTTTATCTTCTCTGAACTGGACATATGACATACACATGATAGTTGCCTGATTTGTTACTCTTCCCACCACTTCAATGACTCCAGAGATTTCTTCATCTAACTGGTGAACATACAGAAAACACATTACTGTCACAGTTGTCTTATTATTTTGTACTCAACTAGTTACATACCCAGTATCAGTTTGGAACTTGAAAAAATGGAATGCTTGATTTATTGCAACTGCTTGTTTGCTCCACTTCATGAAAACAAAATACTGCTGAAAAATAAGTCTAAAAATCAAACACAATTTTACGAGATCAGTAGTTTTCTAACTGGCTTTAGTATCGTCCTGAAAATAAACAAAAGATGATGCATCTTAAAAGAAGCATCACATTACAGTATTTAACCCCTTACCCAAGCAGTGGGCACAAAGAGCAGCGGTGACCAGAAGCATGGATGGGTTGTCCAAACTCTGTTAAAGGTTGGTTAATGCTCTCTCTAAGCTGGTACAGAAGCAGAAAAATACTGTGTATCCTCGAGGTGTATTATGAGGGTTGTTCCTATACTTGTGAGGGTAGAAACTGTAATTGAGTGCACAGGCTATGAGAAGTCTTTTAGTCAAGGATTTTCACTAATAGCTTTTTGCAGGAGTACAAATAGAGGAATCTATAAAATATGCCAATCAGAAAAATCCCTCTATTAAATGAAACTTATCACAGAAAACATGAAAGCGTGGACATGAAAGAGAGACAGAACTTGTTAGTGCCCAAATGGACAGCTGATGAAGGGAAGAGGAGTTGGAAATTTAACTGCAGCACCTAATATTCACCAGGAGAAAGATGCAAATCGTAAGTGTTTAAATGTGATTATGTTTTTTTATTTTAGAGAACTATTTTTAGTCTAACAGGCTAGGACAGTTACTGGAAGTATGAAAAGCATTCTAAGCAGGGATCTGGTAAGAATTCAAACAGTTTGGTACAGATGCTGCAGAAAAGATGCCAGTAAGGAAATACATTTTAAATGCCCAAAGTATAACAAGCAGAGGAAAGAAAAGGGAAAGATCATACCAATAAAGTGCCTCCTTGCTGAAAGAATTAAGCTTTTTTCCAGCCAAAATTTATCCTGCTTCCAGCAAACAGCATCATAGAAAACTGGGGTTGGACAGGACCTCAGGAGGTCACCTAGTCCAACCCCCTGCTCAGAGCAGGACCATCCTTAACTAGATAATCCCAGCCAAAGCTTTGTCTAGCCAAGTCTTAAAACATCTAAGGATGGAGATTCAAGAGCCTCTCTGGGTAACCTGTTCCAGTGCTTTAGTACTCTCCTAGTGAGGTTTTTCCTAATATCTAACCTAAACTTCCCTTGATACAACCTGAGACCATTATTTCTTGTTCTGTCATCTGCCACCGCTGAGAAGTCTAGCCCAGGGGTTTCCAAACTTTTTGAATGTGGGGCTGGATCATGAACTTTTTAGCACCCAGTGGGCCGGCCAAAGGACTCCCCCCCAATTAGGAAGCTGCTGAGAGGCTGGGGTGGGGACAAGGGATGGGAACGAAAGTAAACAGTGTTTACTTTGATTTCCTGTTGCAGCACCTTGGGCCTCAGAAAACGGCTTGGTGGGCCGCATGTTGAACAAGCCTGGTCTAGCCACATCCTCTTTGTAACCTCCACTCAGGAAGTTGAAGGCTACTACTAAGCCTCCCTTGGTTGTCTCTTCTTCAGACTAAATGAGTCCAGTTCCCTCAGCCTTTCCCCAGAAGTCATGTCCCTAACCCCCTGACCATTTTCACTGCCCTCTGTTGGACTCTTCCCCAATTTGCCCAAATCCTTTCTGTAGTGGGGGCCCCAAAACTGAACAGTGACCTCACCAGTGCTGAACAAAGGGGAAGAATCACTTCCCTTGACCTGTGGGCAACACTCCTACCGATGCAGCCCAGTATGCCATTCGCCTTCTCAGCAGCAAGGGCACACTGATGGCTCATATTCTACTTACTGTTCACTAAAACATCCAGGTCTTTTTCTGCAGAGCTGCTGCCCAGCCCATGGGAGGCACCAAGGAGGAAGCCCTGGTGCAGGTAACCCCAGCAGGTCTGGCAGCCAGTCCTGTTGCAGGGTTGGTGGCTTACAGGTACTTACAGGCTCGCTGAGCTCCACGGTGGTGCTCTTGCCTTCACCGTCGGAGAGGACAAACATTTTCCCGCTCGGGTGAATCTGAGGAAGACGGAGGAAGTGACGTCACTCCTTCCTAACTAGGGCTTCCCCGTGTGCTGCCGGCGCAACCCCCCACTCCCCTCCCAGCCAGGCTCCAGCGGGGAGGGGGAGGGGCGAGGCCTCGGTCTAACGAGCGGCGCATGCGCGACCCCCGCCAGGTCCCGGGCAGTGACAGTACCTTCTGCACGCGGCCCACGAAGCAGACGGGCTGGCCCACGTGCTGCGCGAGCTGGCTGGTAGCGATGCGCGGCCGCGGGCCCTCGTGCACATCCTCCATGTTGAGCGTCTTCCCGCGCCCCGCCGCTGCCGTCTGGTTACCTCGGCAACGCGGAAGCACGCCGGGGAGGGGTGGGGCCGGCGCTCCGAACGCCAATCAGGCTGCACGGGCAAAAAAAAAAAACCCCAGCCCGAGGGCGCGGTGACGTAGGCAGCGGCTCCCAGGTGGCGCGCGGGGATCTTGCGTCACGGCGACGCGCCGGCGCGGCCCGGAAGTGGAGGTGGCGGCGGGAGGCGGTGAGTGGCAGCGCGCGCGCGTGGCTCCGCCCGGCTCAAGTGTCCGCCCCCCCCCCGCGTCTCGCGTACGTTGCTGCGGGGGGCGGCGGGGACCCGACCCCATTATTGCCCCGCCTAAGTCTGGCCCGGCCCGCACCCGTCCTGCCACCTGCCTCGTCCCCGGGCCGGGCCTTGGCGTTGCCTCGGCTTTCTTAGGCGCGGGACTTGCTTCGTCAGATGCGTCCTCGTGACGTTGTCTTTGCTTTGCTCGGCGTAGTAACTCCGTCATCATTCCATCAGCTCCTGCCCTGCCTGCTGGTGGGCCACTCGGATCTCCTTAGTGCTGGCTGAGCACCCTGCTCCCCATCCGCCCTTTGGGCGCTTTGCTCCAGAGGTACCCATCCCTCTGTAATTTTGCTGTAGTCAGAAACAGAGTGAAAAGGAAGAGCCGGCAACTTCTTGGGGTGCCTGAAGTCTGTTGAGAGCTGGCCTTGAGTTTAAAAAAGATTACGAGCTGCTGTGTTGTAACCTGTCTGATTTACTGCAGATAACATTGCCTTGCTGTGCCCACATCCGGTAATAATGAGGGCTCTGCGTGCAAGACGCATGAAGCGCTGGCCCTTGTTTGTCTGTCCAGAATACTTGCCCCTCCCTCCCTTTGACAGCCAGGCATCTTTTATGCATTAAATAATTTTATCCTTACAGTCGTATCGTCCTTGTGAAGCAGGTAGAGAATTAATTAGCTACTGGTGTTTTAGACTGACTTACCAGCATCAACCTGAGGCAGAGCTGGAGACTGAACAGGGGTCTTCCAGAATGTTTAGTTCAGTGCCTAATTATAAAGCCACCTTTCCTCTGCATTGCTGCTTCATGTCTTGGAGCAGGGGTTGACAATGTTTTTGGGCAGAGTGCCCAAAACACCCACAAATTCAACTTGTATGATGTTGGCGTGCCAGGGGCAGATGGTGGGGGAGCTATGAGGGGTCCAATCCTTGCTGTTGCTGCGTGGCCCCAGCCCCTTCCCTGTCATCCACCCAGAGGTACGTGTGCCAAGCAAAATGCCTTTGAGCGCCACATTCTGGCACCTGTGCTGGGGGCTGCCTACCCCTGTTTCAGAGTTTGCCCACACCTTACTTATGGTCCCTTTATCTTCTCCCTTTCTCATATCCATTCTTATGCTCCCACTCAATACAGGGACAGTGTCTGTCTTTGCATTCCAAGGCTTCATTCTGCTTTAAATCTTTAAACATAATGGGAATGCCAGCCAGTTGGAGAGGAGGGTAAGGCACCAAGCTGTTGGATTAAAATGACTAAATACACATCATATGTCAAGATAAAGCAGGTGGAAAAAATGCATCAGAACAGTTCTTTGTGAAAGTGCAGCTGTAGCGCATGAAACTAGTGGAGACCAAACTATAGACTGAATTCCAACCACTGAGGGCAGTGTGTTTGGTTGAAATGCATTCTTCTTGCTCCAGATTGGGGCTTGATGCTTGAAAGAGTTCCCTCTCTTCCTTTCATAAAAAAACCACGATGGAATTTTTACTGTCTGTTTGCACACCACTATCATACAAGCTTCTGACTGCCGTTATTGAAGTCTATTCCTCCATTGTTCTACCTCAGGACTGTTCAGTGTCTGGCAGCTGGGGGCTGCACACCACTTGGGCTGTTAAGTACCAGTCCCATCCCATCCCCACGCCCTGCACAGTGCAAGCAACACCTCCCACCTGCTGTGCATTCCACACAGGTACCCCTTTGCAGCACAGCTTGGCTCCCCCATCTTGGCCAGGGATGAAGAGTTGCACACAACATGCACAGTTGGGAGTAGGGAGAGAACTGGGTAGCCCAGCCTTCCAGTTGAGTGTGCTGTGAAATCAGTACTCCCTTTCCCTGCCCCCACAATTCTACTGCATATGCAGCCTGGCTGCCCCCCACCCCACCATGTGTTCAATGTATGGACAACTCGTGCCACCTTAGTCGGGGGTGGGGGAGGCCATGTGCCACCCCCCAGCAACCAGTCAGCAAGCGGGGGGTCTCCCGCAGCCAATTCACCGACCTGAAAACAGCTGTGGCACTTCATCTGGTGTTTCTGCTCCCCAGCTGACACACTCGGGGGGGGGGGGGACACGACACTAGTGCTCCCCCCTGCCCCCCACCCCCATAGCCTAAGCAGGGAGCACAGCCTGTCAGGGGGCGCATCGGCATGCTCAGGGGCAGCATGTGCCCCTCCTACATGCCACCACTGGTTCAGTGCCTGTTTCTCGCTCTTGGAGGTACACAGAATCCACCTGCAGTGTGGGCAGCCTGGCTCCTTTGCTGCATTTACAGCTTGGGCACTCCAGTCCCTTACCTGTTGTTGTGGCAAGAGAAATTGGAGAAGGTGAAGTGAGATGGCTGGAGGGGAGCCCAGGGGCCTCTTGCTACCATTTTGGGGCTGCATGTTCTACCTCATTGCTAATTTTTAAAAATTACCTCTGTAATCTTATTTTTACGTGCAAATACGCACAGACACCTTCCCCCCTCGACCTGGATATAACAATTTCTCATGTGTTGCCTCTGTAAAATACTACATAAATAGCTATGTTTAAACTTTCTGGGGATCTTCTTTTTTTAATCTCTTCTTCCTTACCTACTGCTTTGTCTTCATTTTGCACAAGTGTCTTGTCTAGCGTAGATTTCTAAGAGCTAAAGTTTATTTTATGGTGTTTCTCGGGAATGCAAACTTCTTGTGGTAGGTCTAATAACAAATGAAGCCTGTAGTCAGAGCGTGCTCTGTTTTGTTCAGGTGTAGTACCCAATACTGCATGCCTCACAGCAATAAATACTATAATATAGTGAAACAGTTGTACAGGGCTGTCTGATTTGGAAAGAGGACATTTACTTTATGTTCACTTTATGCCCTAAGGCACAGTTTGCAACTTAAGGGTTGTAAACAACTTGCATGTTCCATATTTTTTTGTTGAATAGGAATCCCAGAGGGGTGCTAGTATGGGAGAGATTGAGAACTACTGTTTTGATCAATTTATTTATCTTAATGTAGGTTGTATATTTACACCTGTTACAAAATTATCCAATTCCCTTCTTTAAGATCAATTCAACTATCTGTTATCTCCTCCTGCAGTAAATTCCATGCTGCATGGAGAAATTAGGCCTGTGCAAATAGGGAAGTGTTTGATTCAGATTCGGCCAATTTGAAGGACAGTGATTCATTTTGGAGATTTAGATCATTGTCTTGGAAGGATTCAGCGCTGATTTGAAGAGATTCGGTGATTTGGCAATAGACTATAATGGGGAATCACTGAAATACCTATACATTTGTCATTTTTTGGTAGATTTGGCTGAAAACAACATTGATGGTAGCCCCTTATGAGGGCATGAAGCCTGCCAAGTTTCAAGGAGATAGGTGCACAGGTTTCTGGGAAACTGCACCTCAAACTGTTGAAAGCAAAACTCACATCACTTGTATGTGTTAAGGCAGATTCGGATGAAAACAGCAGGGCTGGTAGACTGTAATGGGGCCTTCCCAGTGCTGGTTAGATCTCTGCCTGCTCATCTGTTTCTGGACTAGCCACCCACGCCTCTTTTGCTCAGGCAGAAACAGCTCACAAAAGGGACAGAAAGGCTGCAAACAGGCTTATATGCTGTTTCTACGTCCCTCCCCCAGAGCACTGTGATTGAACGGGGTCTTGGGGAAAGATCACAGTCGCTGGCCAGCTACAGATGTCAGTCTTGTGCTCCCCATCCCTCTTCTCAGTTTCTGTCCTCCTGAAAGACTGCCTTCTGAATCTCGGAATCTTATCCAGATTGATTCAGAGGCTTTTTTTGGTCTCCCGATTCAATTCGGATTTGGTGATTCAGTTTCCAAACTGGCCCAGATCTTCTCCGAACGAAATCAGCGACCTAGCTTCATACAACCCTAACAGAAATGTCTTTGTATTATGTAGATTTGCAAAACTCTAGAACTGTTGGTTCATACTCTTGGATGATACCTCTTAGTTGGTGTAATAAAAAGTCATACAAAAAATCTTTTTCTGCAAGCTTTTGGACGCACATGCCTTTCCTCAGGCTCAGGGAAAATGAAATATAGTAAAAAGTCCCGATAGGTAGAAAATAATTATGTATTATTAATAAATGTATTTATGTCATCATGACTGTTCTTCCACTGTTACTAGATTTTCTCTCCTTTTTTATTTTTTTGCTGGCATATTCTTTCACTGTCCCAGAACATAAAGATTTACCATATTTTCATTTCACTTATAAGAAATAGGAAGTCTGTAAGAGCTTGGACAATAGCATCCTCAGTATGTATGTACCTGTCTTTTCCCCTGACATCTAGCTATGTTGTGTAGCTACAGTTTATCCTAGGAAGTTTTAGAACCTGTAGTACAAGTCGGCTCACTTGAATTAACATTATATGTTTCTTTATTAAAAAGAAACAAAACTTTATTTGTCAGGTTAAAAAGAAAAATGATATGTATTTTAGTTAGACCAACACAATTTGCTTAGTCAATACCAACTTTAAGTGTGACTAGTGTAATTGCATAATTTTGCTCTCCTAGGTTTGCCAGAGTTAATATCTTGCTTTATTACTCATAGTAATATGTTGACTTATGGATGTTGATCACTTGTCTCGATAGAGGGGGGATAATTTTAAATTAATCAAATGTATTTTTATTTTCTGTCGACGGTCTGTCTGAGCTAGTAGGAATTGCTAGCTTTTGGTCCTGTTGGCGTGTTTTGCTTGCTAGGGCTGTGCGAAGCTTTGGGTGCTGATTCAATTCGGAGGAGATTTGACCCAAATCAGGAGACCAGTAAAAAGGTCCAAATCGATTCAAAGCTCTCTAAATTGATTCAGAAAAGATTTGGAGAGCTTTGGAGACTTGGGCAGTCCCCACTCACAGCTGCAGAGAGCTGGATCCAGACTCTGTGCTGGTAAGTAATGGGCGGGGGGGGACTATGGGGGGACCCCCTCCAGGCCCCATCCCCCAGCCCTTGCCCGCTCTCCCAGCCTCATCAATGGC